AATTTGTCCATGATGAACAGTTAAGTAAGGATACAATGGGAAAACAAAATACTTCACAAATGAACAGTATTTGGCGGATTGACTCTTTTATATAAGTAGGGATTATTCATTCTTTTTATGAGAGACAATTTTAGATAGTGAAAAACACATAATCATCAAGATCGAATGACAAAAAGTTAGGATTTGAAAACTTTTGAAATTGAAGACGATTCTTTATGCAATATCCGATTCTTTCCATCATCAAGATTTTAAAACTTGGTTATAAACTCTATATTTTTTTATTATTATTTTTTTCATTAGTATGAGTACGTATCTAAATTTATAGTTAGGATAAACAATGTAATCTATATGTGACCCTTTAATTTAATTTTCAAAATTATAGTAGTTTAATTTTAATGTATTGATTTTATTTATGTTGTTTAATGCTTGAATTACTTGGCTAATGATTTAACGATTTTGTGAATTTATAATGAGTCGAGAGGTGAGTTATAAATTTAAATCACATAATAAAATCCGGGGACTAGTATAAAAGTGTATATATACATTTTTTTTTTTATTTAATGCAGCTGCTACATTGATTATTAGACATTTAATATGTTTTAACTAATATGCATCTGAATTCACATAGAAATATGAAATTGACTTAGTTAAATAAAATCAATTTGAACTTTAGAGAGGTAGATTGAATATGTTAGAAGAATTCGATCGAACACTACAATAGTCATGAATTTTGATTAGCGAATTAAAAGAGATCCATAGATAAAATTATAAATCATAACATCCATATTCATACTTTAAAATCCGAATTTGATAAATTGTGCACATTAGTTTAATTTAGTATAATTAAAATAAGTTAAGACACTCAATCACCAAATCATATTTTACTTTTTTGTCAAATAGAAATTAGAAATAGTAAATTAAGTATTAAATTATAATCCTCGTGAGAATGATAATTCAGACTCATCGGTCCATTCTATTACTTGTTACGATATGTACACTTGTGAAATATAAAATCGACAAGTATGTATGGACTGCAATAGCTATGTGACACTCATTCTTGGCCAGGAAGCTAACTGGTTTTGTCATTCACCATCTAAAGAGGATCCACATGAGTGAAAATAATTCAAATTCCAATAATCCTTTAGTTTCATCGTTCTCTGTATCCAGTTTTGGTTAATAAGATAGAGACTTAGTCACAAACAAGTTCGGTCGCACGGCATGAAATTTATCTTCTCATCCATTCATAGTTCATTAATTACTACCATTTTTTCAGTATCATGCGGCGAAAAATATGTTTATTCATCAATAAACTAGATTAAATTAACCTTTTTCCTTTCAAATAAAAGCCAAGACTAAAATTTAGGAGTCAAAGTTTGGTCTAAGCACACAAAATAATCTGCTTATTCAGAATCCATTAACCAAGAATCAATAGAATTCTGAACAATTTTAAATTACTGTATAACAATTTTAGTGATAATCAAGGGAAATAATAAGATACTAAACGTTCAATTACTGTATAATATTTGCTAATAATAAATTTCAAATTTTAATGTATTTTCCCGAAGAGTAATTCAATTTCAAACATCAACAATCTAATTCTCAATGCACATATAAGTAGTCCGTGTGTTGGGTTTTTGATACCCAA